GTATCAGCCTTGATTCCATTTCTCCAACACATATTAAACAGTCATAAATCAATGACTGCTTAATCATAAAAAGTCAATCACAAAAAGGTCTTCTTCCTTCAATATTTTCAAATATCTAAGAAGTATTCCCAACTGTTTATACTTTCCATAAAAAAAGTAACAGGGAAGGCTTAAAGAGTCAGATTACTTACTACTGTCCTAAAACAGAAGCTCAAAAGTCAAACACTTTCCAAAACTGACCATCTTTTAAAACATCCAAAATAAAAGATTTAAGACATTGCAAAGCTGTGACTCAGTGTCACATAAACTGGGGATCTGAACTGCTTGTCACTGAGCACTTACTGCAAGCCCATTTTTTTTTTTAAATACTTTTGCTCTAATCCTTAAAATTCTTCAGTCATTTAGTTTAATCCCAAACCTGACACCATTACAAGGAACAAGTGCATTGGATTTGTGTGGCAAGGTGTTTGTTGGTAGTGGGGGGCTGCAGGGATGGCTCCTGTGAGAAGCTGTCAGAAGCTTCCCTCATGTCCAACAGAGCCAATGCCAGCCAGCTCTAGGACAGACCTGCCACTGGTCAAGGACAAGCCCTGCAGCAACCATGGCTGTGCCTCTGGGATAACACATTTGAGAAGGGGGTGAAAAAGTGTTGCTGCACAGCAGTAACTGCAGCAGGAAAGAGGAGTGAGAAAATGGGAGAGGAATAGCCCTGCAGACACCAAGGTCAGTGCAGCAGGTGGAGGAGGTGCTCCAGGTGCTGGAGCTGAGATTCCCCTGCAGCCCCTGGCRCAGACCATGGTGAGGCAGCTGAGCCCCTGCAGCCCACGGAGGGCCAGGATGGAGCAGGTGGATGCCCACAGGGAAATCTGCTCAGTCTCCTGGCAGAATCTATGGCCCTATGGAGAGAGAAGCCCACACTGGAGCAGTTTTACTGGCAGGACCCACACTGGAGCAGTTTTGCTGGCAGGACCCACACTGGAGCAGTTTATGGAGGACTATCTCCTGTGGAAGAGATCTCATTCTGGATCAGGCAAACAGAAACAGAAGAAGAAGCAGAGACAATGCATGATGAACTGACTGCAGCCTCCACTCCCTGTCCTCCKGTGCCACTGGTGGGGAGCAGGTGGAGAACTGGGAGTGAAGTTCAGCCTGGGAAGATGGGAGGAGTGGGGGAAAAATATTTTTAAGGTTTTGATTTACTTCTTATTATCCTACTCTCATTTAACTGGTAATAAATTAAACTCATTTTCCTCAATTCAAGTTGGTTTTGCCCATGACCCAAYTCCTCAGAGATGTCTCCCTGTCCTTATCTTGACCCATGAGCCTTTCATTCTATTTTGYCTCCCCTGCCCTGATGAGGCCAGTAACAGAAAGTCTGTCACTGTTACTGTAGTTTTGCTATAGGGAATCCTTCAACAATCACTTCTTACCTGTCCTAGTCAATATGCAACTCACAAAGAGATGAAGAGGTGCCAAAATTATTCACCATAAAAAAGGATAAGACAATCCAGTGGTTGTACAATGCAGCTGACCGACCAAAAAAAAAAAAACCCAAACCAAATAAACAGTGATAGTTCAATGCCAGGACAAGGAAAATCCTTTCAATAGYTCAGAGCCATAACACTAATCTTCAGTTTATATTGATGGATCTGTTTTATAACAGTTTAATAACATCACCAACAACACTAGTTTCTGCAACTAACATTAACATAGTTATAGATCACCTCATAACATTCTTGTGTTAACAACTTAGTCTCAAATACAAAAACTTTCATCAGCTCCCCAAAGACAGCAGCAACAGAGTATGTCTAAGCATAAAATAGCCAGCTTCAAAAAAAAATACAAATAAAATAGAATATTGAAATACTTTCTTGTGATTAACACAGAACACCAAGAGTGCACATCTCTAAACCAGCTTGCCCACATAGTATCAAGTCAAATCTCTTACATTCTGTATTCCCATGCCTCCCTCAATCCATCCAAAAAAATCGTGTTAGGTTTGAGAATGTAAAACAGGAATTTATCTTCCAGGTGCAATTTATCTTAACTTTATCTTCCAGGTGCAATGAACCTTTACTATAAATACAGAAGCTGTGTAGGATTACTTGCCACAATTTTTTCAGCTTCTTCTCTAAACACTAAGCACCTTCAATCTTCCTTCTTAAACTTCACTTAGAGACTGTATACAAAGAAGCCAGAACCCAAAAAGTCCTCGGATCCTACAGCAAAACTCACAGTTCTTCAGGGGCAGAAAGGAGAAAGAGAACATACTATGTATGATAGTTACATCACTTAACACAGTTCAACAAAGTGCTCAAACACATTAATTACATGATATAAAATCTCTGTGGAGATCTCCGATCCTGCAAGTGAGTGCACGCCCAGTTCCACRCTCCAGCTGTGCTGCAGCTGTGAGCAGCTGGCTGCTGGCCCTGGAGCTTGGAGTACAAGTGACATCAAAACAGCTCTACCTGCAAGACCTACGCAAACCCACCCACACTACAWTGTTGACAGGAGCAGTTCTGTGTGTAGACTTTACTATTTCACTATTTCCATATTTGCATGTCAGATGGAGAATTTGCACTAAGGACTTTGGGCTTTTCTAGTTTGGAGAAAGAGAGGCTGAGGGGCAATCTCATTGCTTTACATTTTCCTGAGGAGAGGACATGAAGAAGGACGTGTCAACCTTTTCCCTCTGGTATCCAGGGACAGGATGACTGGGAATGGCTCAAACCTGTGCCAGAGGAGGCTTAGACTGGATGTTATGATGCACTTTTTAATGAGTGGGTGGTCAAACATTGGAAGAGTCTTCACAGAGAAGTGGCTGATGCAGCAAGCCTATCACTGTTCAAAAGACGTTTGGACAATGCCCTTAAAAACTTGCTTTAACTTTTGCTCAGCCCTGAAGGGGTCAGGCAGGTGGAGTAGATGATGGTTGCAGGTCCCTTCCAACYGAGATACTGTATTCTGCAACCAAGTAAGACATAAAGAAAGTGGTGACTAAGTAGTTTATTCAGGGTCTTCACTGTTATCCTCTATGGACTCTGACCAGCGTCTTTCACTACAAGCTTTACAGACAAAACTATTTAATACCTTCTTCAGATTAAAAAAAAACAAAACAAAACAAAAAACCTGTATATTGACAAGAATTCACTAGCTTTTGGAGAGCTTATAAAAAAGAATTATGTTAAAGAATTAATACATCTGTCAAAGACTGATGAAGCAGCTAAACTTTTAATCAAAAGGCAACMACAAAGTATTTGAAAGAGTTTGACATATACACAATCAAACTGAACTGTATTTGGCCGAAACAAACAGTTAAAATCATCACATATTTTGCAATAAAGCTTATTCTTCTAGCTGCAGTTTCAGTGTTTTATTCACACATTGCAACGATGCTCTGTGGTCTGGTGGGTTGCTGGCTCACCATCTCAATGGTATGACTGACAGCACAGGGCCAGTTCATCTCAGTCCTTCTCCCTGACCAGCTGTAACAGGTACCACGTGTTCACATATGCTTCAGCAACACATTTTAGCTTTYGCTTCTTCTCCAAAGTCATTGTTTATATAAGTACCATTAATTAAAACGGTTGTCACCTCAGATGGTTCAGTTCACCCCCAATGGCATTAGCTATTTACGTCACCTGATGATCTTGCAAATTTAAAAAAMCACTCTTCTCCAATCCTTTGTCCTTTCTGTTGTCTGCATATTGCACTGAGGAAAGTCAGATAGGGTGAAGAGTTCAGAGAGAAAACCAGGATCTCCAGGAAAATGAAGCTKTGAACTGGAGGAAGCCAAAGAACTAGCACAGGAAGAAAAGGGCATGGCTATAGCACACCATCACTGCACAGGACTACAGCAGGGCAAGGAGAAGGTGAAGGTGAGGGTAGGCTTGAGTACGAATAGAACTTTTAGAAAAAAAAAAAAAAAACCAAAATCAGGAGGAAGTAAAAGCAGAAGAGCCCCGGTGGTAGGAAGGTAAGAGGGAGCAAAGATTAGGAGGGAGGAAGAGGATGGCATGAACTTAGTCTGAGGCTGTACATGATTTCTAATACAGACACAGAAACTAAGAAGGAACTGAAGTGCAGACAGAAGTAATACTGGTGGCAGTGGGGTAAAAGGCTTGTTCAGAGGAAACAAACAAAAACCTGTGCCTATTAGAGTATCTAGAAYGGTACCCAAAAACTTCAGGTTTCCTTGTGCTTCCTCTACTACCAGAAACAACTTGTGCATTCTTCATTTAGTCCCAAACTTGCATATGCATTCTGTAAGCCTGTCTCCTCTTAGTTTTTTCAAAAYACAGTCCAGTGCCTTAGCAAATACATGGTATTCAAGCCCTGCCTTTGACTCAGTATGGAGGAAAACAATCTGGAAAAAGAATTGATTTTATGGAACGACTATGGACTGAGGAGTGTTGTTAATGCCGATCAACTTTCACCTCTGTAATCCCTTAACATTTTCGTGTTTGTCTTTTCAAGTCTTAAAACGTTCTTTGTACATGTAATTTGCCTAGGGCTGGCAGTTTACAGCCACCCCGTGTGACCGGGGAAGCAACCAAGCCRAAGACAGCAGGTAGGGAGCAGCATTACAAACGCTGACGAACACATTTGCTATGCTAGCGCYCTGTTACGTGGCAGCCGGCGGGAGGAAACACCCGTGCGCACGCAGCACGGGCTGCAGGAGCGGCGGATCCGCACGGACACAACCGCAGCCCTGGCAGGAGAGGCCGCAGAGCCCCGGGAGAAGCCGCGCCGCGGGGAACGCGGGCGACAGACGGGCTCGGAGCCGGCCCCAGCCGCCACGGCAGCGCCGGGCCCCGGCTCCCAGCCCACACCCGTGTGGGAAAGCGCCGCCCGGGGCTCTTTGCGGCCGGCTCCGGGGCCCGCTCGCTGTCCCCGGGGAGCGCTGGACGCTCCGAGGCGGCGGTGAAGGGCGGGCTGCCCGCCCGGGCGGAGCCGCTGCCGGCCGCCCCTCGCCCTCCCCCCGGGGCCGCACTCACCACCTCCCGCGCCCGGCTGGTGAAGTCGCTTTTGGAGCGGGCGGCGCCCCGTTTGAGCAGCTCGTCCCTGGCGTTGTCCCCCGCCACCGCCACCCCCAGCGCCTTGTTGCGGGTCTTCACAGTCTTCACGCTGGCCTTGAACAGCAGAGTGATGTCCACCGCCATGGCGGCCGCCGGTGCAGCCGCACACACTTCCCCGCGCAACGCGGCCCCGCGCGGCGCGTTCCGCCCTGCGCGGCGGGGCGGGAGAGGGCGGGGAGGCCGCGGGGCCGGGACCGGGAGCCACCCCCGGGATAACCGCGGCTTGGGGAGACGGGAACCGTGTCCAGAGGGTGCCACCCCCGGGATAACCGCGGCTTGGGGAGACGGGAGCTGTGTCCAGAGGGTGCCACCCCCGGGATAACCGCGGCCTGGAGGAACGGGAACCGTGTCCAGAGGGTGCCACCCCCGGGATAACCGCGGCCTGGGGGAACGGGAACCGTGTCCAGAGGGTGCCACCCCCGGGATAACCGCGGCTGTGGAGACGGGAACCGTGTCCATAGGGTGCCACCCCCGGGATAACCGCGGCCTGGGGGAACGGGAACCGTGTGCTGAGGGTGCCACCCCCGGGATTAGAGCACTCTGCCGAGGGACGGGAGCCGTGTCCGGAGGGTGCCACCTTCGGGATAACAGCGCCCTCGGGGACGGGAACCCCCAGCTGCACGGCTGGCCAGCGCTACGGAAACGCCGTGTGAAAAATAGAAAATGCACCGTGTGGCGATGCCCCGCTAGGGCGTCCTGACAGGTGTCGCCGAGCGGTGCTGTTGTACGGCAGGTTAATTAGAGTTGATTAATGTATATTAATCAGAGCTGCACTGGGATCTAGGGTGGGCGCTGGTGTGAGACTTCCATAGGAAATGTCCCCAGGTGTGATCAGGMATTTYTCTCCRCGRTGGCARTGACAGGACSCGAGGGAATGGCCTGAAGTTGTGTCAGGGGAGGTTTAGGTTGGATATCAGGAWAAGGTTCTTCCCCCAGAGGGTGGCTGGGCATGGGAACAGCTCCCCAGGGAAGTGGTCACAGCACCAAACCTGACAGAGTTTGGGGAGTGTTTGGAACAATGCTCTCGGGCACATGGTGTGACTCTTGGSTATATCCTATGCAGGGCCAGGAGTAGGACCCGATGATCCCTKCGGGTCCTTCCAACACAGARTACTCTGTGATTCTGTGATTCCGTGTATGTCCCATGATGACATGTCCCTGAGCTGTGTAGGTGGAGCAGCCTTGTTGCATCTGGAGGGTGCACGATGGTTTCTTCTGAAGAGAAAGCTGTCCCATGTTCCCCAGTCTGCCGCCATCCTGCACTGGGGCAGTGTGACATCAGTACCTGCAAGATGCATCACAGTGTTTACAATCTGATTTCAAAATAAGCTTTGTGAAATAGCTTTGTTATTGAGGCAACTTTATTATCATATTCTGTACAGTAGCCTGGATATGTGAGATTGCATGGCACAGAGGTGAAAGCTTTTGACCAAATAACCAGTGGTGATGTCTCTATATATATTTGGTTATCCATATGTATGTGCCATCCAATGCTCTGGGATCCACCAGACACCATGTAGTGTTTAACTGTCCTTACACTGACTGGAAGCACATTGACAGAGAGTCTACAAAGAACTATCTCACCCCAGTGGACTGGAACTTAAATCAATGACAACTATTTTTCCCATCTTCTCCAGACTATCAGGCTTTCTTCTCATGTTGATTACTACTCTGCTTGCAGTTCAATTCCCATCATTTCAGCCTTAGTTATATATTAGTGGTTCACTCATATTGTAATTAGCATTTGTTCATASTTTGTTATTATTGTTCTATTTTAAATTGTGTTTTAATTGTGGTATGGATATATAGTTCTAATTAAAGGAATAAACTGTTTTAAGTCTCTGTCCTCGGTGCTGGATTTACCATGAGAATATATTTAAGGTATTTAATAAGTGGGCAATGAAGGAGATTAAAGTTGTCACTCTAGGAATGCCTGCAGTACTTGACTGAACCCTGAGCCAAATGCTTTGCTCTTTCAAGATTGAGAAATTCTGTATAATACTTCAGCAAAGGGCATATGTAATAAAGCATACTAAAACAGATCCTTTCAGGTATGCTTCCTAATATTGATGGATTTTCTTTTCCTTGCATTACCAAAACCAGAGCATTCACACTTAATAAACTTCCAGGAATGAATTGATCACACTGACATCCTCAGCCTTAAACTCCTTGAAGACACTTCTGAGACATGTTCATGAATGTTACCTGTTAAGGTAATTTTCATGTGCTCTGGCAATATTGTCATAACTAATAACTCATTCCTCATATACATTATTTCACAGGCACTTGTCCAGGTAAGTTTTTGCCAGTAGAAGGAAAAAGTCCACACCTTGGCCTATGGTAGTATGCTCCTAAAAGTGTAGATGATAGCATTAACCTGTGGATTTGTGCACTTTCTACTATATGATTTATTCTATATCATATRTAGAATAATCTTTAATGAATAGTTAATGAAGCTGACATTTACACTCCCCTGAAATATTCTCATTTAAGTAGCGATTGGATAAGAATCTACCGAGTTTTTCCTATTAAAATGCTGCTTTTTTTTGCATTTAAACTGTAGAAATATGAAAGCTATTTTGAAATCTTGAACTTCAGCTTCCCATCCTGCTTTTAGAAAAAAAAAATGTGTTGGTGCCAATGTCAAGTAATAGTTTAAATATTTTCTAATAAAATCTAGATTTTTTTAAAGTAACTGGGATACTCTATACATATTTTGACCAGAAAAAGGAATCTACAATTCATTAAAGCAGAGTAAATTTTAACAGACATGCTTTAATTTGCCTCCTAATTTTGCAGAGATTTAGACACATATTCAACTACTTTGAATACTTCCACCTAGGTCAATGGAACCTCACAAGGCACACACAGTTAAGCACATAACTCTTTTACGAGATCAGGACCTTAGCTGGAAATTTTTTGGGAACAACATCATGTCTTTATTTCTACTTTTACTTATTTATTTGTGCTTTATGCATGTGACCAATAGGTACTGAAAACCACCCCAAAACAGTAATATAGTAATATTACACAACCAATTTTGAACTTCAACAGTCTTAAAACTTTCATTCTGGCCCAAGGAAATAAACAGAGACACATTTTAAAAGAAACAGAGTATTAAAATTCCATATGGCTGATCTCATCTGTCAGAAATAGACTGAACAGTTAATCTGGCAAGAGAAAAAGTTAAAGTACCTTTTAATGTGAAAGAAGGTTGCTCAAATGGTCTAACTCGTTAGGCATATAATACCCAGGGCCTCTGCTGAAGAGATAAATAGATAGCTTTGAAGATTACAACTGCTTTAAAATCACTTGCTAAGAACTGGTGCCCAGAGCTTTCATTTGAACTTGATCCGAGCTTCCTGTATACAGTAACTGCATCTCCTCAGTAGTCAYTTGCACTTCCACAGCCACCTTCTTTTAAAAGCTTAGAGCTTACTTTGGAGCAGATAGGTTTCAATGGTACATGCTGGAGCTTCCTGTAATTGCTCAAAACACTAAYCTTGAAATTTAAGATTTTAAGGTTGGAGTAAAATTCCAAAAACACACACAAAGGGCTACAGTCCCACCACATGCAATGCAGGTAAATTGGAAAGACCACATGCACTGTATGCTTTGYTGGGCCTCAGCAAGAGCATGTCTGGAAGAGAAGAAATTAGGACTTTGCAAACTTCAACAGTTTTGTGTGCAGTGTGAGAACAGCAAGTTGGTCATCAGGTCTTGGTGTGCTGGAAGTGYTTAACAGGCACTTCCAGTAAAATGACCTGGGAATGTCTGCCAGTGAAAAGGAGTTCAAGTTTCCTTTTGCCTATGAATCAATTAAAGAGGGGCTGGTGGGGTTGTCTCAGACACAGGTAACTCCTCAAATTGTAATTTCCTTTGATATGAGGGATAAACAACAGAGATAAAGCTCCCGAACTTCTGCCCATTGTTATGAAGRTCTTAATTTGGCACAGACAATAGAAAACAGTCTAGTGGTCCATTTTATATATTTTATAATTTTTCTGGCACAAACCCAGTGACTTTCTTTATGTGATGGCAGTGTTGCACACTGAACAGAATATCAAGAGGAAGGCAATTTGGTCACAGTGCACATTTGTAACCAAGACAAATTAGAAAGGGAGAAACGGTATTTGATGAGTTTGAACTTTTAAGCCAATAGCATGGATGCTTATTGGCTTACACTCAAAGTAAATACAGTTTCGTGGATGTGTAAAGAAATTTTCTTTGGTGTTTAAAAATAGGACTAGAAGACAGTACAGCCTGTACAAAGGAAGTATGGTCACTTCATTGAAACAAATTATTATGGGAAGAATGGATATGAATTGCATAGCTGTAAGCGCTTTTATTGTCTGTGGCTACAAGTATTGACTGCTAGAAACCAGTTCAGTTGGCAGCAAYGTCAAGATTCTGTTATTCCTGTTGGAACTAGACCATCACAACAACATTTATACCAATAATATTTTAAAAACAGAAGGCCTTCAAGTGCTTCGAAAGTAAAAGAGGAAAAATCAAATTGGAATTTTAATTATGTTTCATGCAAAATATATTTTTGCCTTAAAACATGTCTGTGTATATGATGTCTAATATACATTTTTAGATAAAATTGTAACTGGAAAATTATTCTCCARATTAATGGGTTTCTGAGTGAAAACAAACTAGCTACTCTCTAAAATATCAGCCCCTTAATAAAAATTGATCAAAAGAATCTGTTATGAAATATTAAGATGAACTTCAGTCGTAGAACACAGCACAGAGCATACTAATGTCTTGTATTAAAAAGGAACTCAGTATATTGAGGAGTGATCTTCAATTGAATCCATGTTGATAACATACAAAAGTGATGCCTGGGTGGCCCTTACAAGAGGATGGGTAGAACAAAAATGCAAAAGAAGTAGAAAAATTAAAATGTGGAAAGAACCTATTAAAGAATTATTGTAAAGGAGAAGAGGGGGAAAAATGGCGAGACCTTCTCTGAAGTTATTTACAGACAATGGTAAGAGAAAGGGAGTTGTGAAATTGCAGTAATTTTYTTCAATTTTCTCATAAGAAACTCAAATCCTCCTGTGTATATAACAARCCATCCAACATGATGGTTGGACAGGCATTGAACTGATGTTATTTTAARTGCTTTGAAAGTAAAAGAG